AAATTATTAACAGAATGCAGTGCTTTGTTCAAAATATCACAGAAATCAAAACTTGTTTTATCACGTAATCGATCGATCCTTTTACTTTAATTGATATTCGAAAACAATTAACACAGTGCATAATTTTTTCTTCTCTCTATTGTGGCACTGAGTTGGTCTTGGAGCAGACCCAGTAAAAGAGGACCAGTACAATTTGGATAAAATTGTAAGTTCACAATAATGCCCATATCACAAACATTTGGATCACTGTTTCTTCAAGTATGGCCCTAGGTTCCCTGGGGATCTCCTAAGACCCTTCCAGAGGTCCCCAAATTCAAAATAATTTGCCAGCCTATGTTGAAAACTACTACAATATTAAAATACCATCAAAACAGTCGTAAGAAGTAGTGCTGCAGCGAATGTAGTAAAAATTTTAATATAGCAAACATTGATGAATATAACTCATACACACAAAAGCTCTTTAGCAGCCCTCCATATTTTTTTAAAGTGGGAAAGGATCCTGAGAGAAAAAAGTTCAAGAAACACTTGTCTAGATAATTCTTAATTGCCATTCATTTTAAAGCATTCATAAAGCAAGTCTATTGTTTAATTCTAAAGTATCTAAAAATGGAATATAAAATTACAACATGTCATGATTTTTCATGAGTTTTATTGCCTCCTGGGAGAAATGAATTAACACTGAATTATTCTCACCTGTCTGTTCTGAAGCCTGCTGCAAGGCTTACATTTTTCTATGACATTTGGTCTGATTTCTGTTGACATTTGGTGGGATTTCCTGTTAATATAAAAATGTTAATTTATAGGTTTGCTTTTGAATTTCTAGATCCTGTGAACAAAACAATGATGGATTTTGGATAACTATGAGTGCTCTCCATAAGGCAACATGTGTGAAATTTTAAAAAGCAATTTAAGAAGTCTCCGTGAGATTTCTCCATCTCTCTGTTTTACTCACAGTTTTTTTTTCCATATGTGAAACCTGTTCCCAGGCTATCCAAATTTATGACTTCTTCAAACTACCTCTCATAGATTGTAGCAACTGTCTGAATCCATTCAGAAGTTTCTCATAAAATTAGCAACCCAATCGAAGGTGCCTATATATTCATTACATGTACTTTGTTGAAAGTCATGATTTTTTAAAATAATTTATATTTGGATCTTATTTTCGTAGGCTTTAGCAAAAAAAGCAAGAGATGGGAAGTTACTTCCAGAAGAATACCAAGGGGGATCTTTGAGGTAATTTAAATATATTTCAAAACAGAATGGCAGGGGTTTTCTCTTTTGGGGGGGGGGGGGACGACATGTTTGAGATAATCTTTGTAAATGTTTTTAAGTCTATGTTTTATAATCCAACCTCCATTATGAGGTCTGTGAACAGAACAATGAATGTGAACAGAACAATGAATATACTGCTATATTCTCTTCTGTTTTTCCTGCTTTATTTTGAGGCTATGATTATGATTATTACAATTTGCCTTATTATTTCATTATATATATGAATTATATATATATATAAAGTTGGTTCTTGAATTTAACTTTCAATGGACATTCAGCAATTTTAATAATGCATTCCTTACTAGCACTCCTTACTAACACTGATGATGTTACCTAGTTAGAGTAATGAAACCTCTGCAAGAAAAAAAACAAGCTCAGAAAGCATTATGTTAATAATGCTCTATCTAGATATATTATGAAATCATAATATTTGCTATTTTATAAAACTTGGAATCTGTTACTGTATTTGGAGTATAGCATTGGATTTATTAGGGTAATTACATTCATGAAAATGATTCACTAATAGTAAGCAAGCAAGTCAAAACACTTTTAAGGCTGATAGAAAACTAGTAAATAAAAAAAATATAACTCATTTTTCAGCACAAAAGCTTCATACAAAAATACTCACTGTTAGCTCATTATGAAGAAAAATTGTGACATATAGTAGATTTACAGTGTTTAATGTTAAACTAGAAAGAGGCGAAAAGATTTGGCATTTTGATTTATCAGTCCCATGAATCTGAAATAACACTATGTAGAACTAGAATAACTTGGAGGAATGACATTTATGCTAGATCACTAAATTAGAAACAGGTTAGCTTCAAACTGGAGATATTTTGAGTAAATTTAATGAATTTAATTAACCCTTAATATTCCAGTGCCCGTATACAGGATGTATAGTTGAAGTGTTAAAGGAAAATATATTTCTACGTATCTAATATTGCAAGAATGGAAAACTGTATCCAGCCCACACTTTCATTACCTCTCATGCTTGGTAGATTTGTTGAGCAGACATCTACCCTATTTGCCCTTCAGCTGTTATTTTCTTGAATAAGATAGTAGCTGCAAACTTTCAAATGACCAGGAGAAACAGGAAGCACTGCTTTGAAGTACAAGGAAAGTAACAAACCCCTCTTTTGTCAACATCAATCACATCTTACCTTTGCTAAAGAGATAAATTGTGTTGGACTGTTAAAGTGAAATAAGGTGCGTGTGGGAGGTTTTTTCCCTTTAGAAAGGAAGGCAGCCTTTTCTAATGGCATCTGATTTCTTTTCCAAGCTGACTCAAAATCAGAAATTAGCGTGAGTGTAGTGTTAAGAAGAAAAATGTTCTTTTAACGGAGATCTTCTGTGTACAGGGACTTTTAGGGAAATGCTGTTTTGTTTCATATCTTCAATGCTCTAAATCTTGATAGCAGGAATCTTGCATATTTGGAAAAATGTCAAAAGAAATATCAGTATTTTATTAGAGTTGCCGTGTTCAGTTTATAGAAGAGAAGATGGAGTTTACCTGGCAAGGGGAAGATCATAAAACAGATTTGCAGAATGCTTACATAAAAATAATGAAACATATTTCATTGGTTCACTATTTTAGTGCCAATACCATTTTACTAGATTTCCTAGTATTGATTCTACTGCAGTGGAAGAAGCAAGAAGGGTGCTTCCAATCACCTTGAAATCCTCCTGATGGATATTTTTCCTCACTCATTAGACACCAGTTTTGTAAAACCACAATATGACATTATATCCTTATAAACAAAAGAGTTATTTTTGCTCAAGCTGCAAAGGAACAGTATAAAACAGTGTTAAACTCCCATGCCAGAGTTTAAATCAGATGCATTCAAAGTAACTTAACAGTTTTAAATCAGTTCAAAATTGGTGACCTATATATTACCCGTGCATTTCAAAAAATTTTAAGGGACTGTGTGGGAGTTGATTGCTTTGCTTGCATTCTGGTGTTAGTGCTCATGGGTTACTTTTTCAAGTGAATATTTTGTATTGAGTCATTTGATCAGTAGTTCTCAATCTACTATGTGGAAGCATGTTTAGGATTTAGGCATAGTTAATTGCAAAACATCTATTTCCTAGAAGATATGCTAGTGAGTGTTTGCCATTATCATTTCAGGATGCTTTCTGCCACCTTGGCTTATCTAAGCTGCAGTCACCATTTTATTTTCCAAGAAAGACTGTTTTTATGTGGTCCTGGGATATTGTTGAAAATAAACGGTTGTTTTCTGTTTAAGTGTAGCCAGTGTCCATGTTTTCATTAAAATAATCTCTAAAAATCAGCAGAGCACCTGTGGACCCATTGATGTTCATGGGTCCCATATTGAGCAGCCCAAAAAATAGGTGTGAATGGGTAAGCCTTTGCCAATAAAGATTTGGCACTTAACAGCTTTAATCTGTTCATCGTCAGCCAAATGTGTCTCTTGTAGCGTTATAACATCTATTGTTTTATCTATCACCAGTCTGCTTAGTTACTCACATTTATTTCTGCTTAAGCCTTCTATCTTTAGTTGCAAAATATGGATCTGGGGTCCAATATCTTTTGTCACTGAATCCTTAAAAGAACTGCTATAATCTCATTGCTACTACCATAATTTTGGACCATGAGGGATGCAATATCCAGTTTGGTCGCTGTGTGTATAGACTTTTAAACTGCTCTGTTAAGACAGAACGTTGCCTAGGGTATACCATTGTGGAAGTAGTCAACACTTCATACCCCTGAGATGATCTCATTGCAGCCACACCAGAAGCAGTTAGATGGTTAGCTTCCTTTGATATCAAATTATAACATCTATGCCATTGCAATTCTATGCTCCATATTATGGTGATCTTCTTATGATTTTATCTTAATTTAATATTTTATCTCTGTATTGTGCACATTCTCTCCCTCTCTCTCTTTCTCTGTGTGTGTGTGTGTGTATGTTGATGCTTTATTTAAACTAAAATCATTGTATATCAATGATTGCATGACTTCTGTAAATGCTATATGCTAAATAAATAAAACTTAACAGCTATGCTAATGACCCAATAGCTGTGTTTCAGCACATGGAATTTTGAATCAATTCTTACCCCAAGATACCCGTACTCTCATGTTGATGAAGAGTGAGACTACTTGACTGTACTGTTCAAAACTAAATTCAAAATCACAACATATTTATTTCTACCTACCTGTACTAAACAGTTTCTGAGTTATTTTTCCAGAGTGTCTTATTTTTTTGTTTCTCATCCCTTTTCCAACAAAAGCATCTCAGATCTTGGAATGTTTGGAATCAACAGTTTCATTGGTCTCGTAATGCCTCCTCAAGCCTGCATCTTAGCTGTGGGAGGATCTCGGACAGAACTCACTGTTGTGGAGGATGAAGATGGGAATGAAAAGCTTCAACAACACCAGCTCCTAACGATAACTCTGTCAAGTGATGGTCGAGTGATCGATGATGAACTAGCTTCTAAATTTTTAGACACGCTCAAGGCAAACTTGGAGAATCCAATGCGTCTTGCTTTGTGTTAAAAGATCAAGATTTCATCCTGTGTCCGGCAAAATATTTAAACTGAATCCCAAAAGAAGAAAAGGCAACTAGGCACAGAAGCTAGGAAAATATGTATAGTGTGACATGGACAATTTAGACTGCTTATTTATTTAAATAAACTTTAAAAGATGTTTAATGATTTCTATCTCTTGGCTTTTATATATTGAAGTACTGTTATGCATGTTACATCTACAAAACAGGTTCAGAGTAAGTTTAGAGTGTATTCTAATACAAATGGGTGTTGCCTATATACCACGTAGAACCCTTGGGTAAGATTGAATAGATGTATAAAAATACTAAAAGGAAAGAAGACCAATTTTCCTTCAAGCTACACTTTTATCTAGGCTGAATACAAACCATCTTTTTAGTCTAACCAGACTGAGATGGCAAAATGTAATTGGTCTGAGTCATCAGTGTTGCTGTTTAATTAAAAAAAGCAATTAGAATAGGATTCAGCTATAAGAATCCAACTATATGAAGAATTCTCTGCATACTAAATACAGTGACTCTTAATAATGATAAATAGTTATGAGAAGAAAATATAGGGTGCCAAGATTCAATTACATAACAATATTAGTCATTAGACTTAAAGTACATTCTACACTTTATTCCTGTTAAACATGTTTTCCACCTACAGTTCATGGTGATATGTCTTGTTGTGAGCTTTTGAAAACAATGGTTTCAGAATAAAATCTGAACTTAGATGTTTGCAGTGGAACTGGTGGCATTGGATTTTCCTCTTGGCAGTGCTTCAGTGCGCCCAAATTTCATGGACCCATTCTTTTCAGGTCTATATATAGTAGGTATAACTTTCAGGCTGAAGGAATTGCTGCTGCTTGTATATAAATCTGATTTTATCTGTATGTTTTCAAGTGCAAAAGTAATATAATTGTAAGAGTGCCAATTAGCATGCATAACCCTTAATCCATCTTTTAACTGTATTTGGATATTTAAATATAAGTGATTGTTATTATGTTTTGTTTGAATACACAGAATTAAATTTCAGCTAGTCAGTTCAATATGGAAAATACTTTTGTTGTCCAAATATAACTTGTCAGAATGTTCACTTGTGTCCATATTTCAAAAGGTGTATTTATTCTTGATATTCAAGGCACTGCGTATGGAATTCAAAATTTAATTAAACTATGACTTTTAACTCTCACCCCCACCTTCAATCCAGCGTGAAGTATCTACCACTCAACTTCTGTATCTGCTGAATTTGGAATTAAGACCCACTGACCTTAATGAGATTCTCTTCTGGATAAGTATATATAAGATTGCTTTGCTATTCACAACTGCTAAATTTACCGAAACAATTTCCTCATAAATCTTTTCAGTGAATAGCCATGAGGGGTTTTTAGCTTTATAATTACATAGTTACTAATGAAGTGTAATATGTTCTTGCACATTCACTGCTACATTTAAACATTCAAGCTCTAATTGAAGTAGCTTCGTCTTGGCTACCTAACTACATAGAGATAATATAGGACATTCTGCCTTAAAACTGTACTCTTTTTAAAATTCATCTTGGCAAGATTTCTGATTCATGGTAGAATAAAAGAATGTTCACATTACAATAGTTTTTATGGGCTTAATTAGTTGGCACTCTACAGTTACCTCTAGGAGCATTCAGTGCTGCTAGCAAGATTTCATCTAGCATAGTTATGATTCGAAGTTAGGCTCCCAAAGGAGAGAGAATCATCCCTGTTTGGGAGAAAAATTATCAAGCTTAATATAACTGTTTAGTAAAATAGCTTTGCTTTGCCTCAGTTAAACATTTTTAATGTTTTAAAAATTATAACATTTATTTTTAATAGATGTATCCGCTTTTCTTTTTATTGTTTGAAAAAGACTTTCTGTGAAAGCATAATAACTGGGCATATGCAAAATTTCTTTGTGACCAAGGCAAATCCTTTGAACAATCAAGTTAAAACTCTGCTCACTAGTTGATACAGCCTACAGCAATGATGGCGAACCTTTTAGAGACCGAGTGCCCAAACTGCAACCCAAAATCCACTTATGTATCGTCGGGTGCCGGTGGGCGTGGCCCATTGGGTGGGCGTGGCTGCGGTGGTAACAGCAGACTGGGTGGAACTAAAAAGTTCAATCAATTCCAACTTTGCAAGATCTTTTTTTCCCCGCGAGAAGTTGAAATTGATTGATTGAATTATTTTTTTTTGCACACAGCGGTGGAGGCCTAAAGCGAAAAGGTTTTATAAAACCCAGCTGAAGGCCTAGGACTGGGGCGACGGCACGCGTGCCCACAGAGAGGGCTCTGCATGCCACCTGTGGCACGCGTGCCATAGGTTCGCCACCACGGGCCTACAGCCTCAGCTTATACAGATTTGTCCTGACTGTAAAGCTAACAAACTACTTTTAGAAATACAATTTAGGCAGTTATAGACATGTGTATACATATCTTCTCTTTACTAGCCCATTTATAGGAATGTTGGGAATTTCAGATATATCTCTGGCGTCTTTCTTTTTACATGAAACAATTGCCCGGCTTATAAAATGTACCTAAGATACACTGTGGTTAGATTGAATGTGTTATTAATGCTAGGCACGTGGGCAAGATTGCAATCAAGTGAGAGAGCTGCAGTTTGCAATCAGATCTTCCTCAAAGACCATCAGGACTTCTCCTTTAGATTATTTGGATTAATGGCTAGTATAGTTGAGCAGCCATCAAAAGAACAATGAAGGATACTGGAATTTTGTAAAACTCTATGGTTCATGGGCTTTCTTTATTCCTGACCCAAAAGGGAGTGAGCAGGAGAAGGATTAGCCTACCCATTTGCAGTTGCTTACATTTCAAATATCCTATATTATTTAAAACCAAATGGGAAAGAAACCCTGAAGCTTATCTGAACTATAGTCCAGTTGTAAGCCACATATTGCATGGAAAATACCTTTGGTTTGCTATTGAGTTGGGGTCAGTTCTTAGCAGCCACATAGATTTTTCTCCAGTGTATGTGTTTCACTTTGAGAGCAGGCAACTAAATTTCATTTTTTTATGTGTGCCGTTGTGTCCACAGTAAAAAAAAATGACAATAAAGGTTATCTTATCTTGTTTTCAGGTCTTGCTAATGGTGCAATGAAGGCTACAACGTCACCTGTATCGTGTTATTTATGTAATAGAAGAATTTGTTTTATGACATTTTATTTGAAAAATCTCAAGTTTGCAATACGATAAAAATATGCATAAAGAAGATAAATGATTTTAAAAACAGTTACATACATTTAATTACAGTTGAAAGACTTTTCCTTAGTCTTAAAATGAACTAATTACTTGTCTAGATGGACATAATGCATAGAAGCTAAGAGGTGCTTGCTTTGCTTTGCTACTGTGTTACAGGCTTATTATATGTCCTATTTCCAGAAGCAAGATTTGTTTTCCCTCTATCTGACCAGTGATCAGAAGAAACATGGATTCCTATTTTGTGTTACTCTTTTCTTGACCTTTACAGCTTGGAATGCAAGTTACTCTTATTTTACAATGACCTGTGGTTAAGCCAGTTGTCTCCCTTGAAAGTATTTGAAGTTTGGAGACAAGAAACATTATGAATATAGTACTGAAAGATAGAGCAGAAGAGTATGACTTATGCCACTAATATCTGATTGAATGGATTTGATAATATTTCTATGGAGGTACAGATTTTTCATCTATTTAAGTATCTTACTATGGATGGTGGGTTGCAAGCAAATAAGTAAAGCTGTTGTCTGCCAATTTAAAGACTTCTTTTTCCCTTTTAATAGTATTTTCTTTGGCTCCACATTATGGATTGTTATCCAGCCCTTCCATGATTTATTTTTTGGGTAGGTGGGATAAAATTACATACCTTACAAATAATAGCCAATTTGGTTTGTGTGTGCATGCCCATGTGTGTGCATATGCCACATAAACTAGCCTTTGTTGTTGCTGTAGTAGATTGCAAGCACCAGATATTCTTAAAGAGTCAGGAAGGTATTTGGGGGTAATTATTTGGCTTGTATGACAGGAAAAATTCCCTTGCAAGTAAAATGGATGAACAGAAAATGATACCATTTCAAATCCGGTAACTATGTAAGTTTATAAGTAAAAATATGAACTTCAGGAGAAAAGGTATTTGTTTTTGTCTTCCATTCTTCTACACTTTTTGTCATCCATAAGTTATCTTGTTTCTCTATGTGGGCATTTTCCTGAAACCTGCTTATTAATACTTTTCTTGAAAAATTCATATTCATGGTTTCTGGCTTCAGGGCAATTAGTTTAGTTTCCTTTTATTCATTCTCGGGTCCTGTTTAACCAGACAGTAGTTTCTTCATTCTTCCATTATCTTTCCTTTTCGGTAGAGAATGAATCAGTACAGTCATTATTGTGTCTGCTTCCAGTCATGGACTCATCTGGTTTTGTAGACTCAGTTGCTAGTCATTCTCTGTTTACTTTACCAAGAGCCAGGATCTTACAACATAGTGCTGGGGTTTCTCTCTTATCATCCAGCTCTTGGGAAAATTGATAAGGAGTGCCTACTGTGATAATAATTTAAAAGTCTCTCACAGCCTTATTACAATTAAAATCTTTCTCATTTCTGTTCCCTATTTTGTCACTCTGTTTTGAATAGAATTTAACACAGAATTTCCAGTTATTTTTTTAAACTGAGAAACAGCCTTTTCTGTGTAATTAAATATACTTCAACAATACAAGCAAAAAAAAAGATGTTTGAAAACAGCAGGTCGATAGTTGAAAACATTCCTAGGAATACTGTGCAGGGTCAAAATCAAGATACCGTATTTTTCCGTGTATAAGACGCACCCTTGTATAAGACGCTCTGGCATGCGAGTTCCAAGCTTACAGCAAACAGTGCTGGGAGCAACCGCCTCCCAGCGCTCTAAATAGATGCCTCCCAGCCGGCCTGACCCCCAACCCATCTAACCAGCATCCAGCACGATGAGCATGCATAGTCAGCTCACAGTAGCAGCCTTCCAACCCTGGTAAACAAACTGGCATGACAGCAAGGCAAGAGAAGTGAAGGCAGGTTTTAAACTCTGCCATTTCTCCACGCCAATCAGCTGTTCGGCGCAGCGCCAAACAGCTGAGCTGGCAAATCTGGAAGTTCGGCTGACCGTTATTATCAAGCAGAATGGCCTCGCAGTTGCGTTCCACAGAGTTTTCGGCCAGCATACAGGTACGAGGGAGGGAAAGGGCTGTCACTGCCATCCATGTTGCTGGTCCCATCCGCTGCCTCCAGACACTGCCATCCCACGATCTTGCCCTCTCCCCACTCCTGTTAGTGGCAAGCCCACAGGGGCTTGACACCTGCAGCATGGCAATGGCATGTAAAGAACCCACACAGACATGCCCTGGGCTGCAGAGGTTACCATTATTTTTTCGTGTATAAGACGCTGCACTTGTATAAGACGCACCTGATTTTTGAATGGTGTTTGCAGGAAAAAATAGCGTCTTGTACATAGAAAAATATGGTAAATTATCATTCTTCACCAATGTAGGTTAATCAGACTATCTAGAAGTTGGGCACCATATTTTAAGAAGGATATAGACAAATGAGAGCAAGTCCCAGAAGAAACAACCAAGATCATAGTGGACCTGGAAGGTACAACTTGGGAGAATCGGTTAATATTATTGATTATGTTTAGCTTGGAAAAGAGAACATTGTTGGGAAGCATGATAATTGTTCCCAAGACTCTGAAGGGCTGATTTATCTGTTTCCTGGGCCGAGAGGAGGAAGAAGAAAGAAAATTCTTTAGCGTGAACTGCACTGCAACTTATTGTTAGAAATGGGTTTCTATGATAACCCTCAACAAAGAGCTCACAAGATGGCCCTACTTGATGATACCACAGTTGAGTTTTCTGAGTGAAAGATTATCACATGGCTTCAAGCTTTAGATATTTCTTTGCAATTCAAATTCCATACAATATGACAGTTAAAAAGTAGAAACGTTCTGTATGCATCTACATAGACCTAATGAAATAACCTATAATCGTTAACAATCAGTACACAGTATCATTTGGTAACTGTTTCTTGATCGTTGCCTTCAAGCAAAGTCTCTCAAGTTACGCAACTACAA